GAGAGCTACCAAAAAAAAAAAAGCATGTAGGATTTTGGCTGACTGACATGGAGTTGGGCAGGATCACACTTGTGGAGGAAGAGCCGATCATTAACACAGACAGGAAGTGTGGGGTCAGTTCCTGGAGCAGAGATGCATGGAGTAAGGAAGGGAGATGAAAAAAAAATCAACAGACCTCATCAGCCTCACCAACAACAGCTTCAGGGAGCCACAGGAGTTCTAAGGAGCACAATAGCGAGTCAAAGGTAGCATGAGCAGGTTGTGTGCTGAGAAGGCAAACCTAGCCAGACTAGCAGAGTAAAGGAAGGCGTGGGCCGTGCAGAGTCTGACTCACAGGATGCCACCCTTCCCGACTTCTCACTGAGTGTGGGTTCTCCAGGAGAGCATATTCCGGGCACCACCAGAGCCTGTGAGGTTTGCTGTACAACAGGGCCCTCTACAGGAGACTTAGTGGCAAGGCACAGAGAAAGTTAGATTTGGAAAGGTCTCACTAAGTCAATAAACCAAGTTTGCAGAACCCTGAACTAGTAGCCCAAGAAAAAGAAGCAGGCTGAGTGTTAAGGACACACTTTTTACAACCAAGCCTATGTGACAAAATAAGCCTAGTAGTCTATGTCCTAGTTTTCAAATGAAATGAGGTGTTTTTCAAATGCAAATGAAAAAAAAATTTTTAATAATGAAGTATCTTGAGGAGAAGGAAGCACTTTTCCACATGCTGGTTCACTCCCCCCAAATACCCACAACAGCCAGGGGTGAACTGGAACAAACCCAGGAGCCAGGAACTGCATCTAGGTCTCCTCTGTGGGTGACAGGAGCTGAAGCACTTGGACCATCACCTCCTACTTTCTCAAGTCCAATGACAGGGAGCTAGATAAGAAGTGGGGCAGCAGGTACTTGAACCAATGCTCAGATGGGAAGACTGTAACAATGGCCAACTTAACCTGAAAAGTCACAGCACACGTTCCATTTTCAACTGCTGTCTTCAGCCCTGAAAGGAATGTGGCAGCGCTTTTAGAGTCTCACCCCTTCACTTCGCTGAGACTATCCTATCCAAAAGGCCCCAGCCACGTGAAATAATGACACAGCTGGTCTAGCAGGTCATTGAAATGCCTAAATATGTACAGACTCTTTTCCTGCTGCCTTCATTTTTGAGTAAAGGGGACCACTATCATGCTCCGTTTTTCTCCAAGTTCATGTGTGGCTAGAGATAAGATTGAGGGTGATGTGGTAGGACGGAGAGTTAATGCAATTTGACTGAAGATACGAAAGCTCTTTGGGTACCCTACGCCTTCGTCATTACTCATCTCTGTCAGATGTGCCCAGGTTACAGTAATGTTGTGCCGAAGAAGCCTCGTTTGTAGACCACAGCAAGTGATCCCAACAGACTGCCTCCTTGTCTCTTGCATCCTGAGGACAAGCCTGGGTCATTCACAGCTTACTGTCTCTACCTGGTGGTGAATTCCATGAGCAGCAGGCACTGCAGGCTGTTCTGGCGCCACCCCAAGGCTGGTATGCATATTTTAGTCCTCTGCAGATGATTAAGGGATTTCAGCAGGGAATTTTTGTGACTGGTCTATGACAAAGATTACTTCTTGTATTTTAAGAAAAGACACTTTTCTCATTTGCATATCAACTACTGGGGTATACCTTCAAGGTCATCATGAGTTTTATTACCCACTTCAATATTTACCAAAAGAAAATATTGACAAGAATTATTTTCAAAAGTTTAGATGAGAGCCTTTGGCAACAGATCTACTTGGCTAAGGATTAAACTCTGCTCTTTAAAAGCCACGTGGATTGCTTTCTCTAAGCCTTGATTACACAGGCGAGGGCCAGTGATCAAAGCAATGCTTGAAATATTGTGAGCATGATAGTTTTATTACACTAGTACTTCAACGTGACTTATTAAGGAGTTTAATATGGAACCCATATTGTGGGTGCAGTTTCAAATGTCTGAAGATGCCATTGTTTCTAAAAAGATATGAGGCCTAAATAACATCATTGTAAAGTTCAAAAGCACTTGTTGACAACTTTGAATTGATGCTGGCAGCAAGTAGAGCAGCAATTTCCTGAAGCTGAGGAAAGGGGAAGGCAGGATGCAATGGGGATATGAGGCTAATGAGTGCAATAGGAAATGTTGGAAAGGAGGACTGCAATACAGTGTGGCATATCAGGGTAACAGAAAATGATATACTGCATGTCTCAAAACAGCCTATAGAGAGGAATAATCAATGCTTGAGGTGATAGATATGCTAATTTACTCTGATCTGGCTACTACCCATTTTACATACATTGAAATATCACACTGTTTCCCACAAATGCGATCAGTTACATGCCAATTAATACTGAAAAAAAGTGTGCCTTGTAAATTGTCTCTTTAAAAAAAGACACTGCTAGGGCCTGTCACGGTAGCCTTGAAATGCCAGGATTCCTATATGAGCGCCAGCTATAATCCGGGCAGCTCCACTTCCCATCCAGCTCCCTGCTTGTGGCCTGGAAAAGCAGTCAAGGACGACTCAAAGCCTTGGGACCCTGCACCCGTGTGAGAGACCTGGAAGAAGTTCCTGTCTCCTGGCTTCGGATCGGCACAGCTCCAGCCATTGCAGTCACTTGGGGAGTGAATCATTGGACGGAAGATCCTTCACTCGGTATCTCCTCCTCTATGTGTATGTGACTTTCCTATAAAAATAAATAAATCTTTAAAAAAGAAAGAAAGAAAGAAAAGACACTGCTATTTTGACAATTGCTTGGCCATGGTCTTCAGCGAGCATCAATCCAGACAACTCTGCTCCAATAATATCTGAGACAGAAAAATGAAAAAGGTTGTGATGTGTTGAGATGAGAACTGATCAAACAGTTCAATTCTCCTTGTTATCATAGAATCACATTCCTAACCTTCATCACATGTTCCTTTGGAAGCTGCAGGTGTGCCTACACTCAACAGTATCCATTGTGCTTTGTTTGAGTCAGAAGAGTGAATGATAATTTAGCGACATTTAGTGACATGAACATTCTCCAAGGGTCCAGCCCTGGAATTCTTAAGAAAACTGGTGCCTCCTGCCTGCACCTTCAGCTGGACATTGATTGCTTGAATGATGAGCACAAATGTCATGCAGAATTAGAAAGATGTGCTTCTGAATGTGCTACTGCATAGATCTGTGCCAAAAGTTTGGACTGAAATGTGGACTCACCCAGATTAGCAGTGCCAGACTTTGATCATTTCAACACAGCCAGGTCATCTTGGCAGATGCTCACGTCTTGGTGTCATGCAGTCATGATGTAAGCCATAAACAGTGTTATTTTGCAATAGGGAGATTCTGGTAACCCTTCCCAAGAGTGTGGGCTGTGGGATATCAATATTTACATCATCACGCAGGAGGCATATTACATTCTGTAACGCAGAGAACTTAGGTGGCTTACTCACAGATGGATTGTCCTGTGTTCCACATCAAAAGCTTAAATGGCTGATGGCTGTCTCGTTATTCTCTTGATGTTTTTCAATTAAATATAATGAATGGAAATCTTATTGACGTCACCAGAATGACATGTCAGAATTAAGGGATTAGGTTTGTATCATGTCAGAAAACACTAATAGATGAACTACCTTACAGTTTCATCCTCTCAAACCCTTAGGAAGGAAGATTATACAGAATCTAGTCTTGGGAAAGAGGGGAAAATGGAAAACCAACATAGGTTTAGCTTTGTAAGTTTACCAGCTGGAATATAGCTGAAATTGTGATGTTTACTCCCATCCCTGGCATCCTCTGAACTGCAAAATATTTAATAAAGAACTCATGAATATTGGTGACTGAAGAATGTTTTCTCAAAAAAATAGAGGACAAAGTGAGGAGACACAACAGGGTATCAAAAAGTGGATGAATCATGTGGTGGCCACGTCTGTTGAGATGCCAGAAATTTATTATTTCTCTATGCAAGATGCATGTGTCTTAGCAATCCGTTGATTGATAGCTGGAAGTGTGGTTTGATGCAAGGTAAAGAGCTGAAATAATTGGCAGATCATCTTGTCTTTATCAATTTTCTCACTTAAGTCCTGATTAGGCAGATAAACATCCCAGATATAGCCCTTACTCCAATAGAAACACCAGGAATTCCAACCTGCAAAGTTAATTCTAGAATTACTTTGTATGACACACTGTAAATGATTTATATGGCCCATTGTTAAGTTTCTATACAGTCTGACTGAGCATGTTTTATATTAATGAATACTGTTCTACTGGTGAAAAAATTGACTCTTTATTGATATGAATTTAGGTTTGCATTTTGCTTTAACAATCTGGGAATTTTAATTATCCATCAGGGATTGTTTCTAATTTCAATTATATTGTCTTTACAATTAGGCAAGAATTTGGGGCCCGGCGCGGTGGCACAGTGGTTAAGGTCCTCGCCTTGCATGCCCGGGATCCCATCTGGGCGCAGGTTCTATCCCCAGCAGCCCCTCTTCCCATCCAGCTCCCTGCTTGTGGCCTGGGAAAGCAGTCGAGGACGGCCCAAGGCTTTGGGACCCTGCACCCACGTGGGAGACCCGGAAGAGGCTCCTGGCTTCGGATTGGCATAGCATCGACCATTGCGCTCACTTGGGGAGTGAATCATCGGACGGAAGATCTTCCTCTCTGTCTCTCCTCTATGTATATCTGCCTTTCCAATAAAAATAAAATAAATCTTAAAAAAAAAACAAACAATTAAGCAAGAATTTATAGACAGTAACTATTTTATAAGCTTTCAGTTTATTACCTTTCCACACTCTAGCATTAATGCTTCTTTCCTTTCACTGAGAGGCAGGCCCGTGCTGTTGCATCCTGGGTTCTCCCCCCGCTGTTTTACACCTTTGTGAAATGGCTCCGGAAGAGCATAGCTTTCTAGGTGCGGTCCTTGGCGTCACTGGGAGGAACCTGCCCTGGGGACTCCTCAGTGTGATGTAATCCCTACATACTGTGTGAGCACAGGCAGAATGTGCTGATGGGAGAGCCATCTGCATGAAATTCCTTCTGAAGGAAAAACAAAGCAGGTGAAGTACCTTCTCCACAGAGGAAAGCAGAACACGAAGTCTTGTTTAGAAGTGAATGAATATTTATAACCAGGTGATGAATAACTGTCCTAAGAATATTCGAGTTCAATTGTCTTTGAATCAAAATTGTTTTGCTCATCTGTATTAGCATGGGAGAGCAAGAATCCCTAATTCTCAAACAGAATATAAAAAGAAACGATAGCAATTATTATTCTTTAATTTTATTTTGTACTTCTTTCTAAAAATAAATTAGTGTTGTACAAATCCGGCATAAACTATATATGTAAGATAATATCCAGTTGTGTTTGGAGGTTAAAGGTGGGGTTGGGGATGAAAATGTTGATGATAACCTCAGCTGCAGATGCAAAATCTTTTTCTTATCAGACCATAAAATTTTAGAACTACAAACGCCTTATTAGAAAATGAAACAAAAGCACAAAGAAATTAAAGGACCAGCAGAAAGCTTTTCAAACTATGTATCAGATATATAATAAAAAGAGAGAAGGACCTTGATAGTATTTGTGTCTTTGATCCATTTTTTTTTCTCTCCATGTGCAAATCCATTACCAAGTATTCAGAAATAATAAGGAAAGTTTCCATTTGTGGTTGGCTATTTAAAGAATTCGCATGTCCAATACCTGAGTTGTTATTTCAGATTCAGTTGGAGATTTCTATCCCCTAAGAGGATTCTAGGATTTCTATTCAACAAAATGATCATCAAGTGATAAATTGCTGATAATGGCAGGAAGAGGTAAACAGAAGCATTAGGGTACCAACGAGTGCAACACAGAGTTTTGTAATCCACTGAAGAAACAGAAATGCTTTGCCTACTCTGGAGTTGATACCCAGATAGTTTCAGTCCTCAAAAACTCTGTAGCTTATTCCTTATATCACAGTAAATGTGGGATGGTATAGTCATAAGCTAGCCATGAGTTTGCCTTGGACATTTCGTCTTCTTTTCAAGGTTTAAATAAACCATACACGTGAGGTTCTCTAGAAGTGCCATAACACTGATCTCTACCTCAGAGTGGACATCACATTCTTGTGGATTTTGTGAAAGCAGCATATTTGAGATTAGGTCCATTGAGTGCGTAAACTTGAAGAAGCCCATCCACGTGCTACAAAAAAAGTTGGACAGCAAGTGCATGAAGAATCCAAACTTGGCATCATTTTGGCTTGCTACAAAGCCGATAATTATTTCCATGAAGACTCCCATCCAACACGGTCAGAGGCATGACACCCAGTCTTTCCACAGTAAAAAAAAATAACTACACAACAAGAGCAAACCCAGAGTAAGACTAGGAACTTGAATTTTGTCCTAGTGGCTTGTTCATTTGGACTCCATGGCACCTTAGAGAGGGTAGAATTTAAATACCAATGTTGAATTTTATCCTCTCATTTCACTTCAATCCCAACTTCCATTATTTTCAAGTCTTGACAGCTTGGCAAATTTTGTTGTTTCATTTGAAGATTCGAGGTTGGGGCCCAGTGATTTGTCTAGATCTCTTGATGGAAGTTCCTTATTGAAGTCTCATAGTGGTCTTCCTCCATAGCAGATGTAAGGTGACTTTAACTGGAGACACCTAAAACAGAGCACTGGTTTCCATGACTGTTGTTTGCACAGCTCATTGAGGATTCTAGAAACATGCTGGTGTAGCAATTGATCTTGTACTCCCATCAGATCTCCTTTACCCACTGATGGACACATCTCCCAGTGGATCTAGGTACTAACAGACTTATGTCAGTGTCCTTCTATGGAGCTCAGGGTCCAGGAGCAATAGAACATCTGGCCAGGAAGTTGCAGCGAAGTGACAAGTCTGCAACTCCTACCTATCGGGAACATCCTGTGACCAAAGATTGACTAAGGAATGGTATGAAAACCAAGGTTCAGTGTCTTCTTGGACAGGGTTTGATGTCACACTCTACAGCCCCCTGCGAAACGAGCCTGATGGCAACACTTCAGCTAAGGCTGTCTCTTTGCTTAGTTTCTTCCTCTGCTCTGCCTGCTTTCCTTACCTCATCACAAGTTTCATCTTACAGCATCCTTCCACCAAAACAGGCTTACCAGTCCCTACCTCAGGCTCTGCTTCTAGGAAGTCCAACCCCAGAGAGCTAGTTATTCATCCTCAACAGGCCTTCCTCTGTCGTCTCCTCCTGCACCTCCTACCTATTATTACTGTTTTCAGTTTCATAAGCAAATCTTCAACAGAAGCAATATGAATTTGATTCTGCCCTGGATGCAGTTATTAAACAAAGGAAACATTCGATTTTTTCACAAGCAACTTCAGTCATTTTAAATGACAAATTACGGTACAGCAAGAGAAATATATTTGTGTACTTTCATTGCTATATCTTACATTACCCCCAGTTCCATGGATTAAAAAAAAAACACTGTAGAGGGTGGAAAACACAATTAGGATGAATATATAAATACGTTACATGTCTTGGTTAATGAATGCTATTTTCTTAGGCTTTTAGAAGTAAACTGTATCTTCTGAATACATCACTAATAAATGTCTAGGGACAAAGATGTCCTATGTTTTTCCAGACATTTTCATTCTTTTCTTGATGTTCTTTTCATTTTGCATTCTTAACTCAGTATCTATTGTATGCTAAGCACAATACTGGGCTTTGAATACTCAAGGTGAACATGATTAATCCCAATACTGTAAGGTCTATTGTTGGAAGTAGAGACAAGGTAAAGGAGAATTTGTATATTTGAACTAACTTATTGACAAATACATGTAGAATTTTACCACTTGTCTGAGATTTTGAGAAAAGGCATCAAAAACTTGCTAGATTTACAGCCATTTTTCATTTTTAAAAAAGCATACATTAATGTCTGGGACATTGTAGGGGCTCAACAAATATTTGCATCTATGTAACACTTCATATTTTGGGTTTTTTCCATACCTCTTTCTTACATAGCAGTAAAAAACAGCAAGAAAACCACTTATTAGTAATCCAACACCAATCCCGATTGCAATGTATTTTTCATAGGAATCCACAGCATATGAAGTCAAGGTCAAGTGTTCACATCTTTCTCCAGTATACCCAGTGAAACACCTTTTAAAAAAGAAAAGCATGTATAATTGTAAGGCCCAAGATGTTAGAAATACAAAGAAATGACCTGTTTCAAGCAGTGAATAAATTCTGGTAAAATTAAATAATTGAAAGAACAAATACCAAATAAATGTCTGTTTACAGTGGTAAAATGGTTTTGAATCACTCAATAATCATTTCCTAGTTCATCCACTGGTATTTATTCCAGAAAAATCCCATCTTTTATAGGAGAATGCTTAGCAAGTCAATAATCATGAAAACAACACCTTAGTTGTTCTAGAAATTTATATTCCTTTTCATTTTTTTTTTTTTTGGCTTTAGTTGGCTTCATTTCATCTTAAAAGTAATTCTGTGAACACAAAGAATTACCTTCACACGGTTAAAATTTATCATTTCATAGGTTAACAATGCACATTGGTTAGCCCATTTCTGATAGTGCATGAAATTTTACATTTCTAACAAAATCCCAGGTTCCGTGGATGTTGCCAATCCGGGAACTATATTTTTGATTAATGAGGGTTAGAAAAGAGAGCCCTGAGATATTAAATCCAAAGAGATCTGGCAATTCATGGTCCTATGTTACCTCTCTCTGGCTGGACAAGATAAGGAGAATGTAGAAATGTACCATGTGAAATGACAGCGGCATAGCAACTTCCGTCTCCATGACTCTGAAACGGCTTTGGCATTACCTGCAGATGATTTTCTCCAACTCAGGATGGAATAGGCAAACGCCATTGATACAGTAACTGTTATGGTCTTCCAGGCAAGGGCGTGAGAACTTCAAGGCCATGGGTCCTTCTATATAGTCAGCTGGGGAAAGGTGATAAAACATGAATAGGCAAAGTTGTCCTGAGTCGGCAAAATTTTAAACCATGTGTAAAGAAGCCTTAGATATTTTGGGAGTGCTTCTACCTTTGAACAGTGGATTCCTTTGCCGATTGGTCACATTAGCAAGGGTTGGTGAATGTTGCATAGACATATTATTAATAATCTTCAGGGTGGAAGTGGGTAGAGTTATCCATTTTTTAGAAGTTGTAGAGCAAAATACAGAGACGATTGTGCCATAAGGTGGCAGCACTAGCTCTAGTATTAGCAGGTGTTTTGAGCAGTTTCTGGATTATGTGGTTGAATGCTAATAAATACAGAAGACCTCGCCCAATCTCTTCATTTCCTCCCAGGACATGGGAAGATTTAAACTTATACTCAAAAAAAAAAGTGTGCTACATTTTTCTTTTCTCTTCCAAAAGAGAAGAATGGGGAGAACTGTTTTCCTTTTTTTTTTTTTTTTTTTAATGAATTACCAAGAGGTAAGGGAAAAGGGAGTTTTCCCTTTTCAGAGAAGAATCGCTCTGAAAAATACAAGAAGCCAGAAACAATTATGGCTTAAAACTAACCCAGGTAAAGACAATATCCATGAATTTCAATTAAGTTTTATTCAGTTGAGAAGCACTTGTAAAATAGTGGGAAAAACCTTGAACTTAGGAAACCAGAGTTTTCTTTAAAAAAAAAAAAAATGATTATTTTGGTACCAGAGGTGGGAATTTAAGAACTCATAAAGAATTGTCAGGACTCCTTCCACTGTTTCTGGAAGGAGAACTCTGGACTCACATCAAATATTTCTAAGACTGAGACACAGAGGCACGACCATTGCCTGTGTAATAACTCTTAGCTGGAATTAGCATGTGCTTCTCATTATATAAGTTTTTACACACATCGTATTTTTTTCTTCAGTCATTTTCCAGAGAGGAAGATCTGTCAGATAACCCACTCCCCAAGTGACCACAACAGCCGGAGCTGAGCCAATCTGAAGACAGGAGACAGGAGCCTCTTCTGGGTCTGCCACATGCTTACGGGTCTCGAGGCTTTGGGCCGTCCTTGACTGCCTTCTCAGGCCACAAGCAGGGAGTTAGATGAGAAGTGGGGCTGCAGGGATTAGAACTGACACTCGTAAGGAATCCTGGCTCATACAAGAGGAGGACTTTAGCTGCTAGGCTACTGTGCCGGGCCCCAGAGTTTTCAATTTTACCTCTCCACAATAATTGAGCAAAATTTTTGTAATTTAAGTGTCCTGAAACTTTTCTATGGGAAACTTGCATGAAAAGTTGTGTTCTGGTAAAATATTTATGTTTCAGGATGACAAATTCTGACTCTGATGGTCTGAATATACATGTATTACAAACTTGGTGTTCCTGCAGTGGGCCTGATTCCTTTCTGGTATACTTTAATTACTATTTGAAGTTTTTCTTGAAGCACATTAATAGCAGTTGTGCTAAAGCATCTTTGCCTTGCTAAGGAGACTGAGATGAATTCTCTCCTTGTCTTTGAGGAAAAAGAAACCTAAAAAGCATTCTTTCTTATATTGAAATTATTAAAACTTTACGTGCTAAGGTACCAATAAAATGTTATATTTTATCATATTATCTTTGCTGAGAACACAAAATACTACCTTTTTTTCATGGATCAGAAGAATTTATATTTTTTTTTAAATAATCTTACTTAGTTGATTAGGTTTTTGTACAAAGGGTCAAAGGCTACAGGAAAGTGGGTAATACCATTTTTCCACACTAATATCATCAACAAAGTAGTATCTTAAAAGTCACATTCAATTTGTTCAATATGTGTGGTAACTGTAGAGTAATAATTGTGAGGCAGTGAGAATTTCTATTACAAATTACACTGGTCCTTCTTACTTCAAGACTAAGCTTAGTTAACAAGATTTTCTGAACCAAGATTTTCTGAAAAATGTGAGAATTCAAACTGTTTCCAAATACCTGCCATAATAGAAAGACACATCTTTCTCCTAAAATTAAGAATATTCTAAGGTTTGTGACCATTTTCTAAGATACTGGAAGCAGATGTTTAAGTTAAATTAGAAAAAAAGGAAAACTAAAAATAAAGGAAAAGTATGGAGACAATATACTCAATACTTTGCTTTCTATTAGCCATAAGGTAGAAGGATGCCTGTGTGATTTTTGTCCATGAGGCAGGCGATAGCCGGGTATTGATGCTGGCTGTACAGAATGGGGAAGTCTTTAAGAACAGCCCTACTTATCTTATTTTCTACTGTATCACTGTATTCTAAAGAAACGTATTTCCTCTTGGGCCCAGAAGACAGACAGAAAGTATCTCAATATCCAAAAAACAAGTGAATAAAATATTTTGTTAGGTATTGGCAAAATGAAGGCTAACTAAATATCACTGTCTTTCCTATTCAGTGTAGGAATAGCTGAATTCATCCTCCGTTTCCTTAACTTGGACTGAAAATCTTAAGACAGAACAGAGCTGTCCAAGATCTCTTCCAGGAGTTAGATAGGTTTGAACAACATGCTGGTGCTCAACCGCAGTCAGAAGTCATTGTCACAATAGCAACAGAGTAGAAGACAGAACACATCATCACCAGCCACAACCAAAATGGGCACAAGGGCTCCGGAGACAGGATAGCTAGACATGTTCAATGTTACTTTTATCATAATCCAAATTTCTCCCAGAAGTTTACGAAAAGTTACTTGAACACAAAAATGGAAAGCAAATACCTGCTGTTCTGTTAACTGTCCGGTTGCTTTGCTGGACTGTGACTGGAGGTGTTGGAGTCACGACTGCCTCTTCAGCCAATGCTGCCATTGCTGAATTAAGAGGGAAAGTACCTTTAACACACAAATCTTTTTCTGTGTGCAGGCAATAGAGCCAAAATTATCCCCTTTATGCCTATTTGTCATCAGTTTTTAATTAATCACATTTTAAATCCACAATCTGAGTTCAGCCCTTTCCTATTTCCCATCAATTCTATCGAATGTATTGCAATTAAGGAATTAGGAAAAAAAACATTAATTTTATTAACAAAAAGTTAATACATTTATATAATAAGTAGATCACAGTGCAATGGCCAATTGTATTGACTGCACTTAAATTCTATCAAGCATACATTTTGGAGCTCTTAAAAGAAGAACTACACAAATATATCTGGAGAGAAAGATGCATTCCTTAAGAAAATAAGCCCACAGATTTCCTTTGCTGTGATTTTTATCATGAAGAACAGCTGTTAGACATCAGCTCTTTAGTTCACAGAAGAATAATTCCTATTGCCATTTTACAGTGAAACAAAGTTAACAATACAAAAGCAAATTACCTACCATTGAACAAAAGATAGACTGGTATCGGAACTCCCAGGGCCATTTCCTGCAGTTGCTTAACTTTCCTTCTCTAGCCTCCTAGACTGACGGGTGGAAGGTTTTTATTGAGCTCCTGAGTCTTTGTTGCGTTTATAATTCATGAAGCGTCATCTGGCAGTTCTTACCAATCAAAAAACTATGTACTCCTGGCAGGAGCAGGAAGCCTCAGGCACTCATACACTTGTTTGGGATGCTTGTGTTATCTTGCCATGCGATCAGATTTTCTTTTGAAACACTGATTTCCTGTGACCTGTGGGCATAACCCTGTATGTAAAAATACTTAAAACAAGGCAAACGAGTGTCAATTCAGCTATCTTGCCCCTGGTATGAACAGGAGCACACCAGCTATGCTAGGAATCAATATAGGTGTCCAACCACGATATTTGCAAATGAGGAAGCAGCCCAATCGATTAACATAAGATATGTTTGAAACTACATTTAGTTACATCACCTTTCAATACAGAATATGAGTTCCATTGCAAGTCAAGGTATGCTGTAATTTCATATCTATTAACACACATAAAATCAGGCTTAATACTCCATTTTCATTTCTGTTAATTTTACTAGTAAGTTCTCTATATAAATTATTTTATTTAAAATTCATTTATTTTTATTTGAAAGGCAGAGTTACAGAGAGAGAGAGGCAGAGACCATGATTGTCCATCTGCTGGTTCACTCCCTTAATGATTGCAATGGCCAGAGCTAAGGTGATCTGAAGTCAGGAGCCAAGAACCTCCTAAAGGTCTCCCACATGAACTCAGGGGCCCAAGGACTTTGAGCCATCGGCCGCTTTCCCAGGACATAAGCAGAGAACTGGGTGGGAAGTAGAGCAGTTGGGAAATGGACTGGTACCCATATGGGATGCTTGCACTTATAAGCAGAGGATTAACTTGTTGAGCCTCCAAACCAGCCCCATAAATCATCTTATAGCATCACATTTATGTTTCTGTCGGCCTATCATTGAATTTTTTAAGTAAATAGAATATAAACCACTGAGTTCCAGGAACTAACACAAGAGAACTAACACAAAGTACCAAAAAATAGTATTTTCATTAGTAATAGTGGTAATGACAAAAAATTCTCATTAACATAAAATTGAGATGACATCTGTGTACATTCAATGAATGAATACCTTAAATTCAATCCAATATTCAACTTTTTCTAAATGTGAATCCAGTCATGATTACTAAATTGCCATTATAAAGAACAAATTATGTAATTACTGCTATTACATTTTCTGAATATTACATCTTCCCATAAATTTCCATTGTTCTAAGCCACTGTAAGTAATTTATAACCATGTTTTGCCAAGGTGCTGTGACTTTCTATCTGGAACTTCAATTGTTCATGTTTTCTGTACCTTGAAAACCTGCTCATATCCTGCATCATGTCCACCCAGCAAATTAGATTTATCAGAAAGGATCCCTTTCAGTATTCAAATTTCAATTTGGCTTTAGATATCTACACAAGAATGAGCTTGCTGAACTCATTAAAACTTGGGCAATCGCTTACCATGGAGTCATCATTTTCAAGCTGAAAGAATAGATAGTACCTAGCTCATATTAAATGTGCTTATATTTTGCTTACTTCTGTGAGTGTTTTTAAAGTTTATTATTGAATGAACCTGTAGACAATATTTTTTTTTCATGAAAGGAACATTTTAATTACAAGCCAAATGATTTTCTTGGTACCAGAGGTGGGAATTTAAGAACTCATAAAGAATTCAATGCATTGTCAGGACTCCTTCCACTCTTCTGGAAGGAGAACTCTGGACTCACATCAAATATTTCTAAGACTGAGACACAGAGGCACGACCATTGCCTGTGGAATAACTCTTAGCTGGGATTAGCATGTGCTTCTCATTATATAAGTTTTTACACACATCGTATTTTTTTCTTCAGTCATTTTCCAGTAAATCCATTGCTTAACATACAGTAAATACTCAATGAAAATTTCCCCCTGCTCTTCTCCTCTTCCACTCTTCTTTGTGTAATAATAGTAATAAAGGCACAAATCATTCATGGCTACTGACCTCAAGGAACGAAGACGTCTGGGGGAAGTACATACAACACAGCAACGCTGGGCAGACAGCAGTCACTGCCATAAACTTGTGTATAAAGAGCATGTGGGTCTCCGTCAAAGTCTCATGGCATTTTGATGGACAAGTTCATCTGAACTGAATCAAGTAGATTACAGACACACAGTGATAAGAGAAGGAATTCTGGGGGAGGACAGGACGGGCACACAGGGAAGCAGGGTGAAGGAGTGAGAAGAGGGATTCCGACTCACGTGCCAGCAGGCCTTGTTTTGGATGTAGATTTCACCTTCACTAGCCATTTGAACTTGACTTGGGTTTTTTCCTAACCAGCAGAGTTCATTTCCTCATCTATCCAGTGGAGGCAGCCAATACAGTATAAATGAGAGAGAAAACATTTATATATGACAAGTATTCAATTATGCGTGTTACTATTGAACAAATGTGGACAGGAAGTGTATGCTGACTATCAAGAAAGTCATGTGGTTGGGGCTGGAGTTGTGGTGCAGCACATTAAGCTGCCACTGGGGACACTGTCATCCCACATCAGAATGCTGGTTGGAGTCCAGGCTACTCTGATCCAGTTTCCTGAAGACAGGAGATGATGGCCCAAGTGCCATGTGACAGACTCAGATGGAATTTCTGGGTATTGGCTTCCACCTGCCCAGCCCTTGGCTGTCGCAGCCATTTGAAGAATGAAGCAACAGGTGGAAGCTCTCTCTGACGCTCTGCCTTTTAAATAAATATGTTCACATATACAAGTATACATATAAACATATATAGTTTTTCTAAGACTTATTTCATTTTTATTGGAAAGTCAGATATACAGAGAGAAGAGACAGAGAGGAAGATCCTCCTTTCATTAATTCACTCCCCAAGTGGCCACAATGGCCGGAGCTGAGCCAATCTGCAGCCAGGAGCAGGAGCCTCTTCTGGGTCTCCCATGCGGGTACAGGGTCCCAAAGCTGATTTCCCAAGCAACAAGCAGGGAGCTGGATGGGAAGTGGGGCCAGAGATTAGAATCAGCGCCCATATGGGATCCCAGTGCGTGCAAGGTGAGGATTTTAGCTGCTAGGCTACTGTGCCGGACCCAAACATACATAGTTTTTAAGATACTATTGCAAGAGAATAGAGAATTGCCTTTGAATACAATAGACAGCTGGGAGTTGGCTGATGGAAAATTACTTAGACGTATTTGACTGGATGTCACAGACAGGGGAGATTCTTATCAGGATTTCTAGCAGTGATCTTTTCGACATCAAGAAAAGAAGGGGAAATCAATGAGGCAAAATCTCCATAAACTTAGTATGATTCATTGCTGAAACTGGGGTTAGTTGGCCAAGATTAAGACTGTCAGGAAAGGGGCCCAAGGCTGGCATTTGATGCAACAGTGAAGATGCCACTTACAATGTCCACATTGCTGGACTGCAAAGCTGTGCTGATGTGCACCCTTCCAGGCAGTAAGTGGCTCAGGTGCGTGAGTCTGTTCACTCACTTAGAGGACTCAGAACAAGTTTTGTGTTCCTACGTCTGGCCTAGCTGAGCCCATCTGTCTCAGGCCTTTAGGGAGTAAACATACAGAGGATCTCTCTCTCTCTCTCTTTTCTCTCTGTCTCTCTGTCTTAAAATAGAAGCAAGTCATTATTTTAAACAGAAGATTTACAGGAACCTTACTAAACTTTGGTGCACCAGGGAACTTTGCCGTCATATGAAAAATAAGATTCATTCATTCATATCCTGACTTTTTAGAGGTTGGACTTTAAAACAGAACTATATAGCAGCCTCGCGGGGGCACTTGCAGACGTAGATTTTTATCCTCTATCTGTATTTGTCAAGTAGCCGTAACGAAGACTCTGATGATTTCATGGGGATTGAACAACAATACAAAGATATGGGTGTGAGAATGAACTTGGCATATATGTATAGAAGGAGTGGCAATCAAATTAAAATGGAAAACTTGAGTTCCAAAGTAATGAGAATACAATTAAATATGTATAAATAGATTACAGAAATTCTGAGTAAATCAGATTTTTAGACTGTACTTTGTCAGTTACAGGAATCATTGTTCGAAGCTAAAAGATGTCACCGATCAGGATGAGGAAGCTGCAGAGCAGGAGTGGGTTGCTTTGGGAGCACAGACAATATGTTCAGTATAAGGTGATGAGAATGCATGTAAATTAGAGTCCTGAAGTAATATCATTCTGGGAAAAGGATGGGAATTCAGGGAAAGTGATGAAATTCAGGAACCATGAGCATATATTAGCCAATAAATTCCTCTGCTAAAGATTGTATTAATTCATCTGTAAAGCAGGGTGACCGAGAGTGAAGGGCGTGGAGAACAGAGAGTGATCTGCCATCTGCAGGTACAGCTGCCCAAAGGACCACACAGCTGGGTCCCCACACAGTGGCAGGGACCCATGCAGTTGACCTTTCATCCACTGCACTTCCAGCTACCTTAACACACAGCTGGACTGGAGGCAGAGCAACTGGGGCTCAGACTGGCCCTCGGCAGCAGTTAGCTCCATTGCAATAGTCTTCACCGTATGAAAGAAGCTTCAGAATAATTTTTTCGTCTATACTGTATATATAAATAATTATTTCTATTTATACAAATAGTATATAAACATATATTTATATATAAATGTATTTTTCATTTATACCATATATGTGTATACATACATACATACACACACACAATATATATATATACATATATTTATTATTCTTTTGGAAGACTGCCTTCTGAATAATTACTAAAAAATAACCCCTCCTATACTACAGAGAGGGAACTCAAAATTTCAGTTTTCACATTTTCCATGTGCACACATTTTGGGGGTTAGTTTTCTTGTTTGGGGTAATTATGTATAAATAGATATTAATATTTAATGAGGCCCTCTCAGAAATGTATGGGAGCTTTGAATTTACATTTTTGTCAGTGCAATCAAAGAAAGATTTGCCTAGACTATATAATAATTAACATAGTATTCCCTTCACTGAAGAAATGAGTCACACATAAAAAATAAACTTACAGCTATCGTAAAGGAAATGAATACAACTATTGTTCTTCAAATTTCTTTTATTATGCAGTTAGAATGTTATAAATTAATTAAAAAGTTAAAACATCTAAATTGTTCCCACACAAGTGATTAAGAGCACATGTATTGTTAAGCCACGTATTGGGTAAGAATCATTACTGGGACATAACATTCTGGATTCTGGCATGAAAACACTACGTGGTTTTAATAGTGGCAAAGCAACCTTCTACCAATATTCGCGTGGGTAGAAACATTGCACTTACTTTGAGAAGCAAATGTCAAAACAGAAAAACTGTGGACAACAAAGTAATAGAGTTGGCTATAAACTAAAGGTTTTATTTTGGCAATATCCTATTTTCCTATTTGGTTTCTGAATGAGTGCAAAATTGTTACATATTTTGTCTGTCAACTATTATGAAATTTAAGCTTGGTTTTACCTTATATATTTACCTAACTTTGAGTTTGCCCAGTATTATTCAGTGAAGATACTGCCAAAATGTTTTTAGAAGAAATGACATACAAACTCAATGCATTCTTCATAGAGTCTCCACGGACAAGTCATTCATGATGTGACATATCAGCACTTTTTAAAACAGTGTTGAATTTTTTTGTCCTTCTTTGAGTTTTTCTTCTTTCTCTCTCTAGGATGTAACTTGTTGTTTGTATGGCCTTACAGGATACATCTGAGAGACACCTGAGGTCGAGATATGAACCCTAGCATTCAATCTTTCTTTCAGAAAGTAGGCTGTTTTTCAGCACATAATGGACAAGCTACATTAAAAAGTGACCATCACCTTGGCAAAATTCCACTTACATCTTACATGGCGGCCCATATTAGCTGATAAAATGTTGGTCTCAAAGTGGGAATGATTTTAATTACATCAAAATAGATTTACTCATCATGAGCCCTTTATTCTTTTAATATTAGGGGAGAATATCAACAAAATGACTGCTCCCCAAATTTTCACTGTAATTGGTTTCATTTTTCCTAAAACCCAGAATCTGTAAGAAAGAAATGCACAAAGGGTGAATTACCTGATCCACGATGATTGCATACATGAAAAAATAAATACAGTGTAGAAATAAATAACTTGGTAGTAAAATATAAAGGTTTGCATTTTGTCAAATGAAACAGTGTGCATCGCATGTGCTTGGTTCACTCTGGCGATCTAGCAAAGCACTCTCCGAGCTGCCAGCAGGGTGTTCGTGAGCAGCATGGCCACCCTCACGGGTCCCACGTCGCCGGGCACTGGAGTGATGAAGCCAGCTTGCTTCTGCACAGCTGAGAGGAAGACACAGAACACATGCTCCATCGTTAACTGTGACTGAGAACTTCACAGATCTGAAATGATGAGTAGCAAGATTTTTTGTACGACACACAACTTAACAACTTCAATTCATTTTTAAATTCAGTAGGCAATGATAAACACAAACACACAAGCATACCTAGACCCACATTTTAGACAGACACATTTGTTTGCAGTATCTAAGGCGGAAGGAAAGAGAACTTTCAGCAAATATTCCTTAAGAATGTTTCAAATAACAAGGTTCACATTCAGCACAGTTGGGAGAAGGGGTCCATGCATTCATTCATTTGATGGCTTGGTGCTTTCCTGTGAAAATACAAACAATGAAGTTGGGCTGACACGATGGCTCAAGTGGCTAACCCTTCAACTTCAACTGCCAGAATCCCACATGGGCATTGGCTTCTGTCTTGGGAAAGCAGTGAAGGATGTCTCAAAGTGTTGGGACTCTGCACCTGTGTGGGAGGCATGGAAGAAGTTCCTGGCTCCTGACTTCAAATGGGCTCAGCTATGGCTGTCATGGCCCCTGGGGAGTGAACCAATAGACGGAATATCTTTCTCACTGTTGCCTTCTCTCTTTAAAATGCCTTTCCAATAAAAATAAACAAATAAATCTTAAAAAAAGAACAGTGAAGTTTTCCTACATAACTACTCTAGAACAAAGTAAGCATAGATAATGCTTTTATTTTTTTATTTTTTTTAAGATTTATTTATTTATTGGAAAGTCAGATATACAGAGAGGAGGAGAGACAGAGAGGAAGATCTTCCGTCCGATGATTCACTCCCCAAGTGAGCGCAACGGCCGATGCTATGCCGATCCGAAGCCAGGATCCAGGAACTTCTTCCGGGTCTCCCACACGGGTACAGGGTCCCAAAGCTTTGGGCTGTCCTTGACTGCTTTCCCAGGCCACAGGCAGGGAGCTGGATGGGAAGTGGAGCTGCTGGGATTGGAACCGGTGCCCATATGGGATCCCGGTGCGTTCAGGGCGAGGACTTTAGGCGCTAGGCCATGCCGCCGGGCCCGATAATATTTTTAAAATGTACAAACTGGGATGGCACAGGGTTAGTTCTTCACCTGCAGCACTGGCATCCCCTATGGGTGCTGGTTCCAGTCCCAGCTGCTCAACTTTCAATCCAGCTCCCTGCGTACAAGCTGGGAGGACAGCTGAGGATGGCTCAGGAAATGGCCCCTGCCCCTGTGGGAGACTCAGAAGAAGCTCCTGGGTTCAAATCAGCTGCTGCTGTGACCAGTTAGAGGGTGAAGCAGCAGATGGATGATTCCTTTTTCGCTCGCCCTCTCTCTCTGTACACTACCTGTAAATCTGCCTCTCAAATAAAAATTAATACATCTTTACAGTGATAAAAATAAAAATTAAAAATGCAAAAAAAACTAGAAAAAAACTTCAAAATATGCAGCCTGACATTATTAATTATGCTATTAGCTTTATATATATTATATATAAATACTATATATTTATATAGTATACATTATAAAGATTATATATTATATATAAAATATATCTTTATAATGATAAACTAATAAAAGATGTAGAAAAAAAAACTTTGAAATGTACAGCCTGACATTATTAACTGTGTTATTAGGTTTCATATATATATATATTTTATATACATCATTGGTAGATGCCAACGCGCTTCCATCACATGCTGTTTTTCACAGAATGAGACTACGTGACAGGATGGCAGGAATGGGTCCTCAAGCGACCTGGGCTAGGGCACTTCTTGACACGAGTGAGCATTTAGTAGCATCCATGGAGCCCTGTCAACGATTCACTGAGCAGAAGATAATGATATCACTGGACACTTCACTAGTTAAAAATTCGTTTCAAATATTCTTTTAACTTTGAAACAAAGTAGGCCAATGTGAAGGAAAACTTCCCATGTGATTGTAAGAGGCAAATAGGAATGAATTTGATTAAGAAAATGTGAAGTTTCTATTCCTTTTGAACTGCTTTTCAGGAGAATCCATGTCTGAAAAAGAAACAAAAGTTTAGCTACTGCTGGCTGCTACTAGTGCTTTGACTACTAACATAAAGATCAGGAAGTGTGAGGAAGCAATTTCTCCAGAAACACTGGAGAGACATTGGCAAATTTGCATGGGTGTTGATACCAGTGCCTAAGAAGAAGTCTCTGCTCTAGTGATTTTGCATAGGTGCTTGAGTGCAAGCCTAGGCAATGAGTTCCTAAAGTAACAAGGGGAGGCTTATGGAACAAAGTCAGTCATGCGAGAAAGGGCTAAAATCAGCCCATGTTTGATGCTTGAAAAGTATCTTCCCCAACCATGTCTGCAAAGTGAGCAAGCATTGTATCACCAGAATAACTTCTCATCGGCTGGGCTTACTCTGAGGGCATACAAGGTTTCCACCTGCTTGGAAAGGTGATGTTTGTAAAGATTAATCCTAGTTTGCAAATTCAAAAGATGTTCTGCATGGTCCACTGAAAAGCAATGCAGAAGCATGATGGAGCACTCATTTCCCTCTGAGATCCATTGACTGTGGGAGTAGGTTGAGGGAGTAATTTCCTTCTGACTTTACTGTGGCGGCAGGAGGTTAAGGAAGTATATAAGGAAACAAGTCCTATTTGTGAGAGAGTCACATATCAGCTCTCATTGATATCAGTCCTTTCACAAGAGGTTAATTAACCGTTACAGTAAAACCAAAGTAAGATTCAATTTCATAAAGTCATCATGATTTTAGAGTTACTGAAACTGACCAACTGTGCCAACTAAAATAATCATCAAATATTGTCTGCATGAAGCTTGTTCTTGGAGATAAAACATAGGTGTAAGTGACTTTTTAATGTTTACAACAAATTCTTGCAAATAAAAACATATTGAGGAAAGGCAATCTTTATCATGACAAATTATTTGAATGATCTCTGTCAGAAATTTAGATCCAATAAACCCCACAGGTTTCTCTGGGAGATATATTACATTATCAGCATGATTTGTTTACTTTTCAAAATTTCATTTCATTTTGCTTTATTTGTTTTGAAAGAGAGGCACAAAATGGCAGACAGACATGGGAGAAAGATTTCCCATCCACTGGTTTACTTCCCAGATGTTCACAATAGCTAGGACCAGATGAGGGCTTAACCAGAAATTTGGAACTGTGCTGGAACCAGCAGAGCCAAGACTCAAACCTAGACACTTCAGCACAGGACGGCGCTACTGCAAGTGGCATCCAAACTGTGGTACCAAATACCTGCTTTGCTGGCATGATCCGGGATGCCAGAGAGCCTGTCTGTATGCATACCATTTATTGTCTTTGGGGAAATGCTCTTCCTCTATTTTTCCTTCTCTGATGACACATAAATATATTTTGTTTCTGAAGCCTTGGCTAAGTTAACTGCTCATTTATTGATTCATGAGACCTACAGAGTGAGTTTCAATTTGCAGTCACAGAGAATGTTGGAGACATCTGAGAAATTCATGCAAACTACATATGCTTCCTCCCATGCAAAGTGCTGAGATGCCCTACTGAGAGTAATTGTCTGAAATAAGACATGTTTCTAAGGATAGGGAAGGATTGTTTTTCATGCAAATTTATAAACTGCTTCAAGGAGATTGTAACACACAGGGGCCTTGGGTTTCCAGTCAGGTCCTGCAAACTCAGCATGCAAATGTTTTTCACTCTTCTGTTGGCCCTATTGCTTGCTAATGTCCTATTGGCCAAAGCAAGTCCCATGCTCAACCCTGAATCTGGAATAAGAAGGTGGCAGAGTCTCACAGCCAAGGGTCATGCATGCAGGACAGAGAAATGTACCCATGTTTATAATCTCCTACGGTAGTCTCGTGGCTCCTATTCTACTCTAGCAGCCATCAAAACTGCTGCCAGATACGTTCTGTAAAACATAATTTTAGCCACTAAAGCTTTTCGACATTTGCTGGAACTTTATGTTCTCTAGGACAAAATATAAATTCTTTGTCGTGACAATAAATGCCTTGAAATCTGGCACAAAGACAATCTGCACCTTACATCACTTCCTAACCCCACATTTAAATATTCACTCCCAACACACGCAACAAACTGGCCCGAAAAATTCAAAACCGAAGTGTCTTGAGTAAAGCAGAGACAGATACCGTCCCTTGGACTGCACAGTCTACTTGGGAGGAGATAATTACCTAAATAATGCTTGAACTGTGGTTATGTCATGGGCTGTAAGTGAAATATCTACTTCAATATGGATGTATTTGGAGGACAAAACTGAACCTGAGTATGTACGTGGAATATCTCTGCCACATTTGCCAGGTGAAACAGAGAACTGAACTACTGAGAGGTTTTGTTGTTGCTGTCACATTTATTCAGGGAGGATAAAGATGACAAGCTGTTCCCGGCACAGTAGTCTAGAAGCTAAAGTCCTCGCCTTGCACGAGCCAGGATCCCATATGGGCACTGGTTCTAATCCTGGCAGCCCTGCTTCCCATCCAGCTCCCTGCTTATGGCCTGGGAAAGCAATCAAGGACAGCCCAAAGCCTTGAGACCCTGAACCCCGCATGTGAGATCCAGAAGAGGCTACTGGCTCTGGATCATTGTGGCCACTTGGGGAGTGAATCAACAGACAGAAGATCTTCCTCTCTGTGACTTTCCAATAAAAATAAAATTAATCTTTTTTTAAAAAAAAGATGATAAGCTGCTTGAACTCCTGGAAACACAGCAAGAAAGTAAGGTGACAAGTAAGAATAAAGAGAAGATATACGGGACAACAACAGAATAAATAGAGACTGCTCAATGCAGACACAGCCTTGGAGATACTTTGCTAAGACCAGTTGCCAAAGTGTTCCTACTCTCTGGGGGAAAAGGCTATTTTGTAGCAGGATAAAATAAAGTTAGAAAACAATCTTTTTTACAACTATTTCTTTGAATGGCAGTTACAGAGAAAAATGAGAAGAAAGAGAGTGAGAGGGGAAGAGAGAGTGAAAGAGAGAAGAGAAAGAAAGAAAGAAAAGGAAAAAAAGAGA